CTTTTTCTTTTTCTTTTTCTTTTTCTTTTTCTTTTTCTTTTTCTTTTTCTTTTTCTTTTTCTTTTTCTTTTTCTTTTTCTTTTTCTTTTTCTTTTCTTTTCTTTTCTTTTCTTTTCTTTTTACTTTTTATCTTTTGATATATTTTGGTCAGCGGCTACTCTGCGGTGGCGATTATTCTCTGGCGCACGACATCCATTTACATATAATCAGTCGCCCCAAGAAGTGCAGTGGTGCGGGTCCTTTGTCGCAATTGCGGCATCGAGGGGAAAAAAAAGTCGCTGTGATCTGTAAGTTTTCTCGGACTGTGTCGTGTACTTGTTCGCTTCGTTTCCTTCGCTCTTTCTCTTCAACCTGACATCGAGAGCAAATCCTTCTTGTAGGGATATATCAAGTGTGATAATTACTCTCCTGCCTTCGACGACGTGCTTGTTGTGTCAGTACAACATGCTGCGGCTTAATGTCCAGGCGATGTCTATAATCATATCAAGCCTCTGACTGTCTTTGTGTTTTACCAAGCCATGGTTGCGCAGCAGGGTTCATTGACTGTCACTAACTCGCCCATTTTTGCCCATACTAGGACGCAACCGACGAACGTTTATGATCTCAATGTCGACGTTACCACAGCCATCACGGCCTAGCACAAATCCGCCGGCTGGATCCTTACCTCCACTACCGGCTCCAAAATCCAGAAAAAGCTTGCCCGTCTCTTCCGATGTATCGAGGGCTTCATCTCCGTCTCAAACAACAAAGCTCCGCACGACTTCTAGCCCTAGGCCAGCGCTCACCAAATCCCCGCTATCTAATTCAGCTTCCAATATCAGTACATTCAGATCAACCTCGAGTGGCCGAGTTCCTAGTAGTCCTGACAAATCACTACGCAGGACAATAAGCATTGCAGCTTTCCCACAGCCACCAAAAGCAGGGAGCCGCCCTTCTACTGCATCTTCGATATCAGGGATTCAAAACGTTACCTCATCCGGTAGTATCAAGCTAAGAAAGGGTTCAAGATTAAGCTCTGGAACTACCAGCAGTTACCGCAGTTCCAAAACTCCCTCTTTGTTAAATGGTAGTGGTGATGGGAAATCTATTCTTAACGCCGAGGGTCGAGATCCGGACGCCTCGCCTTCTCAGAGCAGAAGCTCCTCTGCTCAGGGATCGTATTCCACCAGTGCAACTACGTTCGAAGACCCAGAGGACGGAACAGGTACCCCTAAGGCCGGAACCAAAACAAAGGAGACAAAAGGTAATGTTATTGTCAGTGTACGGGTCCGTCCCGATGTAAGCTCGGATGCCTCAAAGTCGAACGGGGAATGGATGGTCGATGGGCGCAGAAGCTTGATCGCATATAGGGGAAAGGAGGGGGGTGATTATTACTATGGTAAGAAAGCCTGTTCAGTGAAAATTTCAATGGTTATATGACTGATTTGTTGTTGTTTATAGATAATGTCTTCACAACTCATGAACACAATGCCAAAGTCTATGATTCTGCCGCGAAACGCCTCGTGAGGAGAGTGATGGAAGGTTACCATGGTACGGTATTTGCCTATGGCATGACAGGAACGGGAAAGACTTTTTCCATGCAAGGAACCGCGACTTCACCAGGAGTGATACCACTAGCAATAACGGATATTTTTTCTTTTATCAGAGAGACCCCGCATCGGGAGTTCTTGCTCCGTGTCAGCTACCTGGAAATTTACAACGAGAAGATCCACGATCTGCTTTCAGCACCTGTTGCTAATGGCGGGTCAGCACCTCAACAGCAGGAGGAAATCAAATTGCGGGAAGACAGCAAACGAGGTGTATATGCAACACCTCTGAAAGAAGAGATCGTGCAGAGCCCAACCCAGCTTCTTCGTGTAATCGCTAGAGGTGATCATGCAAGGAGGACTGGCAGTACACAATTCAACGCTCGCAGTTCTCGGAGTCACGCAGTCGTTCAAATCGTTGTGGAAAGCAGGGAAAGAGCACCTGCAAGCGTTTCTTCCCAGGATAAACGCACAGCTATCGTTCCAGGTGGAGTGAGAGTGTCGACCCTCAGCCTGATAGATCTGGCTGGCTCGGAACGTGCTGCTGATGACAAGGAGCGACGTACTGAGGGAGCTCACATTAACAAAAGCTTGCTGACACTTGGTACCATTATCTCGAAGCTGTCAGACAGTAAGGACAAAAATGGTAACCAGACTGATCGAGAGGGTAAACATTTACCATATCGAGACAGCAAACTCACCAGGCTACTACAACCGGCTTTATCAGGAAATTCTCTCGTCAGCATTCTCTGTACAATTCAATTAGGTGTCAGCGGAAGCTCGGCACCAATCAACTCACACTCCGGAGAAACACTCAACACTTTAAAATTCGCAGCCCGGGCTAAGAATAGCATTGTCAGTCATGCTAAAAGGGCAGAAGAAGCACTTGGGAGCGGTGGTGGTGATGCAGGCAGTCGGGTGCTTCTAGAACGCTACCGAGTGGAAATACAGGCCCTTCGCAGCCAACTTGACAGCCAGACAAAGGCTCAAGCCGAGAAAGAGCTGAAGCTGGAAGAGCAGCAGCTCGAGAAGGAGGCGCAGACGCGTCACGAGGAACAAATGCTGGAAATGCAACTTGCTCGAACAGCTCTCAAGGAACGAATAGAGCATCTCAATCGTCTTATTTTAAGCTCAAAATCCACTGGTGTCAACAGTCAAGGGAGCTTAATCGCCCTTGGGCGGCTTTCAAGGATGTCGGCCAACGAATCTGGAACACGGTCGCTACGTTCTTCAGCTAGCCAATCAACGCTAGGCGCGTATGGTCATTCTTCAATACGACCTATGTCCTTTGTCTCTATAAACAGTAATGACCCCTCGGTTAATTTACATTTCTCCAATGGATCATTTGGGAATGAAGAGGACGAGGATATCATGGGCGAATTTGCGGATGGCAAAGCGAGCGTTCAAAGACAAATTGCAGCGCTACAAGCTGATCTTGGCGACAAGAACCGGTACATCTCAACCTTGGAGAGACGTCTGCTGCAAGCAAGGCGATCGAGTCACTCAAGAATGTCTATTGGCATCAAGTCCGGGAATATCGCTGCTGATAACCCGGACACGGCGGCTATAGTCCGTGAGAAGGACATGGAGATTAATGAGCTTCGTTCACAGCTGGATGATAAGGATCGTATGTTAGCTGCGCTTCGCTCTGCGGCTAGACATCGAGACCTAGCCCAAGTGACTGCCGATACATATTCACCAGAGTCAAGGGACAAGCTTGATCAACAGGTCAACGCAACACAACGCAGTTCCTTGGCTAATGATGCCGGTCTAGGATCAGCATCATTACAAAACGATAATGAGAAAGAGAAGAAAAGGAAAAGCATGGATGAAGTATCGCGAATGCTTGATGAAATGATTCAGGATCGTGTTGAATGTGGCCATTTGGTTAAAGGCTCTCGTGGAAGTGTTCGTGTTAGTGAAAGTCAGCAAGAGTCTGCAACAGTCACAGGTGTTCCTGGTCTAAATCCAGCCCCTACAGTTCCAAATGAGGCAAAAGAGAATCCATCTGGATAATGCAAATATGTTGCTATTCTGATGTAAGGACATTTCTGAACAGGTGACGCGAACACAATTTACTGTTGATAATACCCATTTCTTGTTTTCTCTTGAAGTTTCTGATACCCATGTTGTCTTTTATCCTTGTTCATGTGACTTACATGGTTTTTGGCAATGTCGAGTAATTAGGTAGTCTGCTATAAATTTTGAATTATCCGATTTATTCCCGCCACCATACCAGTATACCATGTTTTCTGTTCTAAATAACATACAACCTTCATAAGTGGAATGGCTTTTGTTTATGATTGGTCTATAATAATAATTAATCGCCCACTCTATATAGGTCCACATTGACAAACACTCAAATCTGACCATGTAAGTATAGGTATCACCGTCTACACGAGTTTCCCATTACCATTAAATCAAGCCCTATGGCATTTGAATTAGACGGTTATTATATATGCTCAAAAAATCAAGGCATATTATTTAGATCACACAAATATGATTCACATGATGAAAGAGAATATACCTCTGCACACCTACTCAGAGTATATCAGAATTTTGTCTAATGCATTCCATGCATTCATTGTCATACACCCGAATAGCCGGGAATAGCCCTAGTGTAATTATTCGACTAACAGCACCACCAACGCCTTGTATTTCAACATCCTTATATATGGTAGTCAATCAATATGTGTAATATCGTATCAAGCTCTGCTATTGACCTGCATGGAAGCTTTTGTACATAGCGTCACAAATCATGCGACAATCTCAATATCTGCTGCCCTATCTTTCGCAAAAACGTCTTTCCATTGTTCCCACAGTCGCTGCAGTTCTTGCACATATCGATCATGAAGTTCATTAATGTAGCCATCGTCAATTTCCTCCCTGTTCTGTTGTTGAATTACTTGGATGGGATTCCCGACGACAATATTTAGCGGCCGGCGGTAAGGCATCAAGCCAACATCGTAATTAAAAACACCACGTGCATGGAAAAGTGGGATAGTGAATCCCATGGTATGCTTGACGAGCATCTGAAGTTTGTGTATGAGAGGGTGTTGATCTGAGCGCACTTGCTCATAGAGATCGTTTTCTCCAAATGCGAGCACTGGTACAAGATCAGCACCAGTTCGGATTGCCAACTTTATAAATCCTTTGCGCCGTTTCAGTACAAGACGCATTGAATGTGGCAATGCATCAAGAGATTCGCGCGCGCCGCCAATGACAATTGTGATGGCCCGCCCCATACCCTCGCCATCAGTGCCGCCTTTAGTAAGTATATTTTCACAAGACTCGCGAGAAACACTCGCAAGCCCCATGGCAAGAGCATACTCCCTATAGAATGGTATTCGGAAATTCGAATCAAGAGTAAGGAGGGTGTTGGTTATGCCCGGGAAGAGCTTAGAAAATCCGAGCGCCTCTGTCGCAAACGATGCAAATGCGCCGTGAGAAATGATCCCATGTGGATGATAACCAAAGATATACTTCCGTGTTGGGATGAGATGTTCTGAACGATGCAGTCGAGCCGGGAAATACGAGGCATAGAGTGACCAGGCGCGAAGAGAACGGAGGAAATTACTCCTGCCACGGAGTGTACCAGAAGTAGCTGCCGTGGAAAAAAGAGATATGTAAACGAGATAAGGCAGTAAGAAGGGCCAGAACAACGGTATAGCACATGTAAAAAAAAAGCAAGTCAGGAATATAGCAATGGTCAGAGTATGGCATAAAACGGCAAAAGTCTGTAGGCGTCGCTCGATGCCAATGTTCAGTGGTGCCCAGTGAATACTGAAGGTGATTGTCAGTGAGGCCAAAACTGAGGCAAATAGTGTAATTATTTTGTTACCTGGCTCTCTTTCCATCCTTTCCCTGGCTTAAAGGCCTTGGAACCTCAGCTGAGGCAACAAGCGTACGGTTGTGCAGTGAAGTCTTTCCATATTTATTGCGCGTCTCAGAAGTGGTATTCTCTGAACCAGAAGGAATATCACTTACAGCTGAAGACGGCAACGGCAACTGTTTTGAGCCACGGTGCTGGACCTTGTTTGTTACTGAACCCCCAGCTTTATCGATAGGTTTCTGGCACCCCACGGCTTCATCATGCTTTGCAGTAACATCTTTCGTGACTGACTCCTTCGAAGCTAAAAGTGTGGAATCTATGGATGAAGACATGTTAGGCTTCAATGCATGTGTGGCAGGTCAGGAGAAAGTTGTGAGAAATGTGTTGCTCTAATCGTGGAACATATATGTATATATATATAATTTTTTTTTTTTTTAAAAAAAAAAAAAAAAAAAGGCTCAATGTGAACAGATTATTACTGGATGGTGTATGGACAGCCCAAATATAGAATTCAATTTCTCTCAGGTAGGTGAAGTGGAGGGAACCTAATTGACAGGGTGATGACGTTATCAGATTTTGAGGCAGCTACCTGAACTGCATGGGTGTACTAGTGTAACATTGAAGTGAGTACCTAACTGTAACACTGTAATTTGATACACATGGATGGGTACTAATTGGTATCTTTCACTGATGAGCAGGTACTTAGATAAGGTACTTAGGTATCTAAAGTACTAAACATGTCTCCTAAATTTTTAAGGACCTAGCTAGAGTACAGACCAAGGATTTGCCTACGGTATAGAACGATAAGCAATCTAGTTCTGCCCTTTTAAATAGCTAGTCCAATCTTTAGATTTTTCCAATTTACATTTGACGTCCATGGAAATCTCTAGCAAAAGCGAAGGATAGTAAAGAAGACAAGAAGTTTGCAATGTCATTAGTTTGTTTCTTTTCTCTTGACCCAAACGCCATCTATTCCTTAGGCACGATAACAAAACAATGACACTTGGCTGGGATATAATCAAACAGCCAAGTTGACCATATGCTAGAAACACTGGCCTGAAAAGACTGACTTGACCATGAAAATCTGCGCTTATTAGCACCCAACCAGCCGGCAATATATGGACATAAACATTACCTCGTTGAGAGACTTGTCATCTAAAAGGGCTTTTTTCTTTTGTGCGATATGTCGACCTCTGAACATATGCCTTCCCATTGGGCGGCGTTCTTTCGATACTGCCGAAGCCTTGGACGATGATGCGCTGCCGGGCGTTTCAACAGACTTTGAATCATCACCCTGCTGAATTTCAGAGTCAGGATTCCCGCGCTCCTCGATATGCTTTCTTTTCTTGGCCTTTTTATCTTGTTTTCCTTCGGGCTCTGATGACTCATTCGAGCGCTTATTACGCGAAGTCTTTTTCTTGGACGACTTATTTGCGGTATCGTCCTGGGTATCACTGGTTTTTTTGTGCCCTTTCTCATTTGACCCATTATCGGATTTGGCAAAGGTTTGGCTACCTTCTTGGGGTACCTTGGGAGAAAGGGCATCGATCTTTTCTTGAACCAAAAGGCCACCGCTTATAAACCTAACCTCTTGCCATTTGGTCGCAGCATAACGAGCCAACTTGACATCATCACGCTTCCGTTGTTCTTCTTCCAAGACAGTATCTGATTTTCCGTTAAGCCGACCTAACAGTCCTTTGAACGCATCAAGACCAGTGGGTTCGCCTAACGGATCGCGTTTGGGCCGAGCTCCTAAACCAAGGGTATCATCTTTCAGAACAACTTTGATATGTGATGCACTAGCGGCGGTAAACATATCAGCGTGCGCAGCATTTCGTGCGCCTAAAAAGTTTCCTGGTTTCCATCCTTGGGAGCTGAGAATTTTGTGTCCAAAACCACTTGTTGACCGGGACCAATTTGTGTTGTTTGGATCATGAGAAATCTTGGTCCTCCTACACAAGATGTTAACAGAAATTAACAGTGTGAGATAAAGTGAAATCCATTATGCTTTTAATAATTCAAAGACCGCGGGGGAGGGGGGTTAAGAAAGATAATCAACGCACTTCCGAGGCGCCGCCAGGCCCATTTGCGGCAGTAAAAATTAATTAATTTCAATTCAAACCCCTGGTGCACAAGGGAAAAGAAGAGGTAAAGAGAGAAATTATAGGTGTGATTAGATAATAGATGACTGGTAGGCTGGTTAAAAAGCAATCATTGCACTGGAAGATTATTTTACTTCTCACTGAGTGATCTGAAAAGAAATCTCCATGTGGAGTAACCGACTAGTTACTTTGTACCCATTACCTCCTCTGTTACCGCCTCAGTTGCTTCACGTGACGTACAGATGATTATAGGCCTGATCACCCTATTTTGATTAAAAATTTTTTTTAATAATAGCTCTATGGAATTTCTTTCTTTAATATTAAAACCTCACCCCTTATAAAATAACAGTGATTAGGTTAATAAACTGATTCTTCTTAGGTACAAGTATAAATGTATGACTATGATATCATATATAATCAGACTTAGTATAACTGATATACCTAGGTACTATGTATTCTAGGTATATTAGATGTTCTGTAGGTGACTAGAGTAATTCAGGGTGTATTACTTGATAGTTGGTACCTAGATATATACATCCATACATTAGATACTAGGTAGGTACTAACTAGTACCCCTGGGGTAGTTAACTAACGTAATCCACGGCCGAGCGGCGAATACGACCGAAGTGCGAATTTTCCCCGCTCCCCAAGTCAACATTCTTCAACGCGTCTTTTTTTCATTATTCTTATATAAAATACCTTTATCTAAGGAAGCTTGCATGTAAATGGCTATTACTGCCTAGAAAGAGAAAAAAGTCAAGTTAAAATTAAAAGCTGCCTAGATATTTAGTGTCTCTAAATCCTCCCTTCATAAGCAGCTTACTAGAATCAAACTATGTATAGAAACATGTGCAAATAGTCATAAACTGACAGCTAATGAGGAGGAAACTCTTATTAAGTGGCTACTAGATTTAGATAAGTAAGGCTTTTTAATTTGGCCAGAATTTCTGTATGGAATGGCACAGATTTTACTTTGTAAATGTATATAAGATCTAACTGCCACTCTTAGAGTTAACTGGGCCTATTCCTTTACTAAATGTTGCCCTGAACTATGTACATGCTATAATAGGAGGATTACATACCAGTATGTAAAGCAGGAGGATCCAGAGGTTTTAAAACTATGGTTTAAGACTGTATAAAAAGCTATTAAGGAACATGGCATACATGAGGATAATATCTGGAATTTTAATAAGACTGGCTTTATAATGGGACTCTGTATAACTTCTAAGGTTATTACTATAGTAGAGCGCAGTAAAAGACCTTATATAGTTATCTAGGGAAACTGTAAATAGGTTATAATTATTAAGTATATAAGCTCTAAAGGGATTCCTATACTGCTAGTGGTTATCTTAAAAGGAAAAGAACACTAGGCTCCTTAGTACTAAGAGCCTAATCTCCCTTAAGATTAGAGGCTTACTAATAGCCTAAATGGCTGGATAATAGATGAGATAGGCCTTTAGTGGTTAAAGCATGTGTTTAACCCTTTTTTAAAACTATATTTAACTGGTGTGAAGTGGTTACTTATTCTTAATGGCTATTTAAGCCACTAAACTGCTAAATTTAATAATTTCTATAAGGAGAATATAATTATCTGTCTTTATATACCTCTATATACTTCTCATCTTCTTCAGCCACTTAATATTAGGGTTTTTAGACTGCTTAAACACGCATACAGAAAACTAGTTAAGGGGATAATGATAGCTGGAAATAATTATATTAATAAAGAGGATTTTCTATATCTATATCCTCCTACACATGAAGTAGTATTTATTTAAAGGAATATATATAATGGCTTTACAGGAGCTGGTCTTAAACCACTTAATTAAGACTGGGTTCTTAAGAAAATCACCTTTTAACTTCATATGCTAACACCACCATTACTTATTAAAGGCTTAATATCATCTGCTTTTTAAATACCTCAGAATCCTTGCCAGATTGACTGTAAGGTTTAAAGCTTATAGAAAAGTCTTTAAAAGAAAAGAACACTTTTAAGCAGTCCAGTCTCTTATCTTTAATACCTTGAAAAGGCTATGTAGATGGTAATGAATATAAACCTCCTTCTTTAATAAGAAATTAATATTCTATAGGCTGAAAATGAGTGGAAAATAAAGAAGAAGGTAAGGAAATGTGCTTTTCTAGGGAATAACCTCTTTATTTCTGTATAGGAAGGTCATGATTATGTTCAGTAGCTTAATATACAGCTTAATGAGCAGGTTGATGAGCCTACTCCTGTGCCTTATTAACGCGCTCTACCATGCTGCAGTGGCTGCTGGACTGTTGGACATACAATATGAAATTGCCCTAGTAAATAGCTATATTTTCATGTGCTAGGTAATATAATAATAATGGCGTTGGCAGTTAAAAAGCTTCATTTTGTAGGTGCCAAGCAAAAAATTCGCACTTCAGTCGTATTCGCCGCTCGGCCGTGGATTACGTTATTGCTGCATATACTGACTCAGCAGATGCTCCGCATAACGTAATCCACGGCCGAGCCGCGAATACGACTGAGCCGCGAATTTTCGCCGCTCCCACTAAATATTCCAAACAACCACCTTCAACGCGTCAGTTTTTTCATATTTTCATATAAAATGCCTTTATCTAAGGAAGCTTATATTCAAATGGCCATTTCTGCATGGAAAGAGAAAAAAGTTAAATCAAAATTAAAAGCTGCTGAGATATTTGGCATACCTGAATCTATACTTTGTGATTGGCTTACTGGCATTAAACCATGATCTGAAACACATACTAATGGCTATAAATTGACTGCTTTTAAAGAAGAAACTCTTATCCAGCTACTGCTAGATATAGATAGATAAGGATTTTTAATTAGACTAGAATTCCTATGTAGAATGGCATAGCTTTTACTCTATAAGCATACACAGGACCCTTCTGTAGTTATTAGGATTAACTAGTTATATTCCTTTATTAAATGCTGTCCTGAAGTATATATAAGATATAATTAGAGGATTACATACTAGCATGTAAAGCAGGAGGATCTAGAGGTCTTAAAATAGTAGTTTTAAACTATATATACAGCTATTTAAGAGCATGGTATATATTAAGATAATATCTAGAACTTTAATAAAACTGGCTTTACTATAGGACTCTATATAATATCTAAGGTTATTACTGCAGTAGAGTGCAGTAAGAGACCTTATAGAGTTATCTAGGGTAATTATAAATAGGTTATAATTATTAAATATATAGCTTTAAAAGGGATTTCTATACCACTAGTGGTTATCTTAAAGGGGAAAGAACACTAGGCTCTATAGTATTAAGAGCCTAACCTACCTCTAGATTAGAGGCTTACTAATAGTTTAAATAGCTGGACAATAGATAAGATAGGCCTGAGGTAGTTAAAAGAGGTATATGAACCCTTTTTAAGACTATACTTAACTAGCGTGAAGCGGTTACTTATTCTTAATGGCTATTTAAGCCACTAAACTACTGAATTTAATAATTTTTATAAGAGAAATGTAATTATTTATCTTTATATACCTCTATATACATCTCACCTTCTTTAACCCCTTAATGTTAGTGTTTTTAGGCCACTTAAATATATATATAGAAAGCTTATTAAGGGGATGATGATAGCTGGAAATAACTATATTAATAAAGAGGATTTCCTATACCTATATCCTCCAGCCTATATAGCAGTCTTTACTAAGAAGAATATATATAATGGCTTCATAGGAGCTGGTCTTAAACCACTAAATAAAGACTAGGTTCTTAAGAAAATCACCTTCTAACTTCATATGCCAACACCACCTCTTATTAAAGTTGATGGGTTAATCTCTTCTACTTTTTAAATACCTTAGAATCCTCACTAAATTGATTATAAAGTTCAAAGCCTATAGAGAAGTCTTTAAAAGAAAAGAACCCTTTCTAGCAGTCTAGTATTATATATCTAACACCTTAAAAAGGCTGCATCTATGGTAATAAATATAAATCTTCTTCTCTAATAGGAGATAAAGGTTCTATAGGCTAAAAATAAGTGGAAAATAAAGAAAAAAGTAAGGAAACATACTTCTCTAGGGGATAACCTCTTTATCTCTATACAGGAAGGTCATGAGCGTGTCTAGTAGCTTAATGAGCAGGTTGTTGAGCAGGTTATTAGAAATACACCTATGCCTCACCAATGCGCTCCACCATGCTGCAGTGGCTGCTGGAATGTTGGATATATAATATAAAACTGCCCCAGTAAATAGCTTCATATTCATATAATATTTAATTTAATTTAATGGTGTTGGTGGTTGAAAAGCTTCAAGAATACCTTTGGAGCGGCGAAAATTCGCGGCTCGGTCGTATTTGCGGCTCAGCCGTGGATTACGTTAGTTAAATACAATTTAGTGACTAAGCATAAAATAAACTAACAAACTACGGAGCTACCTACCTAGTGGGTTAGCAGGTATTTATACCTAGACAGTACCTCAACCTACAAACCTAATAGCAACCACAGTATGGACTACATCATGGAGACATATTGATCTCAACTGTTGCATCCGAAATCAACAAAAAAAGCAGTCATATTTGATTTCTAAATAGCTGTGTAATCTACATAAGTATGTGACAACCTGGTTTCACATTTAATTCTCCGGTTCCCCACCCCCTTTTGCAATCATTTCCTCATCTCTTCGCGTTTGATTTTTAAGGCGAAATCTCAGAGCCAGCTGTTTGTGGGCGGGCCATCCTTTTATTTATTTATTTATCTATTTTTTTTTTTAACACGTTTAAGTTGAAGTGCTTGTGGAATATTTGGAGAGTGAATTGATAACGAGTGGACACAGCATCAAGACCATCCAAAACTGACGTTAGCTGCCATTCAATAAGAAGCTGTCGTCTTCAACCTTTCCAACCATAGATGCTGTTGGATGAATCAAAGCTCGTTGGGGGAAGATTCTGATAATAATATCACATGCTCGAAATATAGAGGGAAAGTGTCGATGGCCCTCGAGTTCTTTTGATAGGATCTGACACGGATCATCAAACATGATTAATCCGTACATTCGATACACCTGAGCCATGTCTAGCTTGCGAATCCTTTGTCGAGATCTCCCTCATCGTACAATTGCCTTGGTCACCACTGAATACGCCTTAATCTTCCAGCACGGCTCAATAGATGCAGTGGCCAGCAATCAAAATGGAACACCGCGTTGTCTAGTTGAATTTTCTAATATATCATCTATAGACTGGAGAGACTACAGATTCCTGGGGGAAGGATATGGTACCCTGGGTCTGATCACTTTGGACGAAGATGTCTTTCTGTGCGTTGTCACTGGCTCCTCGAAGGCCGCTACCGTTAGGCCCGGAGAGACAGTTTCAAGAATTGACAACGTGGACTTCTGTATGTCCCGTATTTACCTCATCACAACCAAACCAATCTAACGCGAACAGTCTGCCTTACCCATTCAGAATTCGAATATGGAATGGATTATGGACCCGGAAGTCAACCTACGGCCGAGGAACTTAGCCGTGCCCCTGACCTTGAAGGCAGAGAACTGGTTACTGACCACCCATTCATAGCCTTAAAGAAGCTTCTAGGTGATGGTAGCTTCTATTATAGCCTTGATTTCAATCTAACTGATCGGCTGCAAGACCGGTGAGCTGATCCAAATGGCTTACTGTTACGCTTGGCTAACAATTTGTCAGCTCTGACAAGTCTACAACTTTCGACATTGAAACCCTTGATGAGGATATGCTATGGAACTCATATATGATTAATCCTCTTCTCCTTTTTCGGGGACATCTGCCGCCTCTGGACAGGGTTAATCTTGACTCATCTCAAATATTGACTTGTGTCATACGAGGATTTGCTAGCACCCTGAGAATTCCTGCCTCCGTTCCTCTCCTACCTCAAGTGGAAAGCAATCTGCCTTCTACGTTTACTATAATTTCGCGGCAATCATCTCGGCGTGCGGGCACGAGGTTCAATTCACGGGGCATTGACGATGACGGTAACGTGGCCAACTTTGTAGAGACAGAACTCATTCTTTGGATTCCCACGGGTATCACTTTTTCTTATGTTCAAGTCCGTGGTTCAGTACCTATCTTCTGGGAACAAACCGCAGGTTTTCTTCCTGGGCAGCAAAAGATTGAGGTGACGCGGTCCACTGAGGCAACACAACATGCTTTCAACAGACACTTCGAATTCCTTGAGTTGGAATACGGCGCAGTACACGTGGTTAACCTCCTAAGTGAATTTAAGCCCGGGGAAGTCGAGCTTTCGACGAAGTTGCGTGAGCACATAAAAAAGAATAGAGTTAAACGAAGGGATTCCGACACTTCAGACCATACGCTTTTGCGAATGACGGAATTTGATTTTCATGCAGAGACCCGAGGTCCACTTGGATATGGTGCGAGCAGCCAGATAAAATATGATATCACACATTCTTCACACGGTTTCGGATACTTCTTGTCTGAAGATTTCATCGGTGCGACATCGTCGTACGAAAAACAGAATGTGCCCAAAAGCTCATCTGTTATTCTGCAACAAGAAGGCGTATTCCGAACAAATTGTCTGGATTGCCTCGACAGGACGAATTTAGTACAAACCATGATTAGCTCGATGGCTCTTGAGTCATTTTTGTTTCAACAGGGAGGAACGCTTCATTCTGATGTCCAAGCCAGGCACTCAACGTTATGGGCCGACAACGGTGATGCTTTATCGAAAATTTATGCTGGTACTGGTGCCCTCAAGAGTTCCTTCACGCGGCATGGGAAAATGTCACTTGCAGGTGCACTCGCGGATGCACGTAAAACTGCTACACGGCTTTATGTCAACAACTTTTCTGACAAGGCCCGCCAAAAGACCATCGACCTTCTTCTAGGAAGATTGACGGATCAGATGCCGGTGCATCTCCATGATCCAGTTAATGATGTGGTTTCCGAAGAGCTGGGGCGGCGAGCTTCAGAGTATTCCTTTTCCAAGTCAATAAAGATATGGGCTGGAACTTTCAATGTCAACGGGCGCAGCAAAGGCCCAGATGTCGATCTCACGCCATGGTTCTTCCCAGAAATCGAGGAGCAAAACAGGGATCCGGAAATCTTTGCTGTGGGATTTCAAGAAATCGTTGAACTAAGCCCACAGCAAATAATGTCCACAGATCCTACCACACGCAAAGTATGGGAGAACGCTGTCAGGAACTGTTTGAATGACCGTTCAAGATCGAAAGGTGCAGGGAAATATGTACTCTTACGGAGCGGTCAGCTTGTTGGGGCAGCTCTCATGATATATGTGAAGGAAGATGCGTTAAAGCAGATCAAAAATGTTGAAGGGAGTGTTAAAAAGGCAAGTTTGGACCCAAACTCTTATTGGTCACCGCTGCTTACATTTTACAGACGGGTCTTTCAGGGATCGGTGGTAACAAAGGGGGTTGCGCAATTCGCTTCGAGTACTCTAACACCCGTATTTGCTTCATTACTGCACATCTTGCAGCCGGGTTTGCAAACTACGATGAGAGGAACAATGACTATGAAACTATAGATTGCGGTCTAAGGTTTCAGAAAAATAGGTCAATCGAAGACCATGATACCATCATATGGCTCGGTGATTTCAACTATCGAATCGGTCTAGGCAATCAGATAGTCAGGGACCTTATACTACAAGGGGACTATCAAAGGCTTTATGACAACGACCAGGTATTGCAGCCGCGTTCAAGATGTCTACCGCTACTGACCACAGTTAAGTTAAACCTGCAGATGATAACTGGCAGAGCCTTTCAATTTTATTCGGAAGGACGGATTTTATTCCCTCCAACATACAAATATGATATTGGTAGTGATGAATACGATACCTCGTAAGATTCCTGAATTTGTTTGAATAGATGAGGAGCATTAATCATTTACAGGGAGAAAGCGCGTATTCCTGCGTGGTGTGATAGGGTGCTTTGGAAAGGCACAAACACCCGCCAGACTCATTATGACACTGCAGATTTACGCCTCTCAGATCATCGTCCAGTTTGGGCTACTTTCGATTGCATGATCAATATTATTGATGAGAGTCTCAAAAGTAAAATCAGGCGCATGATTTATGAAGATAGGCAATGTGATGTTCGCGATATGCCTGCGAATAAGGCAAATCTTATAGATACTGAGGACGGAGAGGTCATGTCGCATGGGTCCATTGCACCTGGCCTTCCTCCAGCTAGCTCAGATCATCATAGATGGTGGTTGGAGAATGGTATCAATCCCCTGTACATGCGCATTTAATCTTCGCAAGAATTTTTTTCAACTAACGACTAGAAGGAGCATCTTCAAGATCAGAGCTGAGTCCTCCCGCATATGGGTCTATTGTCAATGTTTATCGCAACCCTAACCCCTTCTCTCAAGGTGACGAATATAATTGGGTTTTTGTGCCAGACTATATTGGCAGACAGATGAATTCAAATACTGCTAAGGATGTCATTTCACCCAAGTTCCCAGTGTCTCCCGGTATCGAAATACAGGATGCATCACCAATGCATTCGGGCAATCGAGACCCAGCCCCTTCCAAAGAAAACTCTGGTGATGATAGTATTCCATCATCTGCTAAGAGAAACAACGATGCGAAAACGCCGCCGGAAATACCCCGAAAGCCAGTCTTTCTAAGCTCTAAGGTAACATTAAACACAAGCTTCTGATTATGGAAACCTCGGCTATGCGTATTAACCTGGAACAGGTCATTGAGGGGGACTTTTTGACGCTTAATGAAACATCTAGAATACCTCTCTTGGGAAAGAAGAATCATGGCAATGCATCGAAGACATTGCCGCCCTATGATGCTTCCTCCGGAAACTCTCCTGCCCAGTCTGGAACGAACGTTGAAGATCTCCTTGACGATTGCACTGGGGGGGCGATTAGCTGGGAACCCCTTATTCCTCATTAGATGGATAATTACGACATCTCATTCTTGTCTGCTCTTTGCTTGGGCCTAGATAGAATATGAATATCCTATTCCTTCCGCCTTTGGATATCATTAGAACATTAATCAATGACATCCGATTTCTGAAGTGCCTGGTGACCAGTGGTTAGTGTTGGTTGGACCTACAGTATACACTGCGTACTATTATTGAAAGAAGTATTAAGGACAGTAACACATGTTTGCGTAATAACTAATAATAGAAATTCTATGGGTATACTAGCAAGCCAAATTTCTCTACATCTGATAAACAACAAAAGAAAACAGTTTCCTAGTGCCTGAGATCCGGATCATAACTTTTCAAAGCCAGACAAAACAGCAGCAGCAAAATAAGACATAAAGAGAAGACCCTCTTAACTCCTGTTTACTGGAATACACTGGTGGGAAACAACCCCGGAGTAACAGCTGAAGCAATGAAAGGATAGGAAAATAAAAGGAAAAGGAAGATGAGGTAAGGAAATGAACACCAACCATTCATTTCCAGAGGCATGAGAAACCAATCCCGGTGGCACCGAGAGGAAAAGTCATGCCTCTCCAAAGCAAACTGTGATAGAGCAAACCTAGAAATATTTGCTTGTTCCAAATGGCTGTGAAAATGAGGAGCACTGTAGGAAGTTTCTCTTTTTGCTTCCTCCTCCCATCTCACATACATTAGCTTTGCATCTTTCGCCTGTCCTCATCCACGAGGCACCCTTGTGTTAGAGGGGACAGGGGGCATGTAAGTAGGAATTGAAATACCCTGCAAGTTTTAACCCTAATGCGCAACTTGGAAGTATCAGCTAGGATTTAACAACCCAACTCCATCACATAGCACGGCAAGAAATTTGCTTGGTGCAGGAGTGCTTCAGGCTTTTTTCCCGCTTTTAAAGTCTTGTTCAACCTCAAAGCTCTACTACCCACCATCCACATTGCGAATGACCCAGGGTCAGGGCCTTTCGGGCGCGGCTTTTTGGGGCCTATTGAAAAAATGGAAAGTTAACAGAAGATGCCGTAATGCGAGTCCATTTTCATGAATCTTTGACACAAACAACTTGGGCTGGAATGGTAATCTTAAGAATATACATACCTGCTGAATCGGGCTTCCTTTTGGGCTCTTCGCTTGTAACGCCTTCTCCTTCAGGTGCTGGGGAGGCCTCGGAGGGTTCAGCAGCTCCAGGAGTTTCGGAAGTGCCTGCTACTTCCGGGGCAGCCGGTGCTTCTGGAGAAGGGGTGGGTGGTGGTTCTGGGGTTTTGGGCTTTTCGGGTATAGGCCACATGTGCATGGTTATGGTCCAATCGGGTTCAATGACGGTTTCCCAGACTTGTGGAAGTATTATATCACCATTGGGACCTATTAGATCGTAGTGTCCCTCGGCAACGTGAGGCCCAATTACCTCTATGTGAAGGAAAGCTTGACGAATCAGTTCTTCCATACCCTTGGTCGGAGTTAGATGCGTTTCCAATAGCCAAGATATACGGGGTCTTACCTGCCAAGTGCAGCACAAATCGAATGGAAAGCTGAATTTCCTCCCAACGGCATCTTTGAATTTTATCGGCTTTTTCTTTTCCGGAGGAGGCGGGTTGGCTGCCGCCGCCGTTGCTGCTGCGACAGCTTCAGCCGTCGCTGCGTTTGCTGCTTCTGTCGCTGCCGCTGCTGCCTCTGCTGCCGCCGCATTTGCTGCTTCGGTGGCTGCTGCTGCCGCCTCTGCCGCCGCCGCCGCCGCCGCTTCTTCTGCCTCTTGCTTTGCTTTTGCTGCTTCTTCGGCGGCTTTTTGTTCCGCCTCTGCTCTAGCAAGAGCAGCGGCCTCTTCAGCTATTTGTTTCTCATGCGCAGCACGTTCTTCTCTGGCAGCCTGTTCAGCGGCTTCCTGTTGGATCTCTGCTTGGCGTGCAGCTTCCCGGGCCTCCCGAGCCTCCCGTTCACTCCTTTCTTCCATAATCAACTTTTCCAGTCTTGCAATAGCCTCATCTTTGGCCGTGTCTGTCGGGGGGGGCGCTGGGGATGGACTTGATTCAACCTGACTAGGAGGGGATGGTGGACGCGGGTAGGAACCAAAGTAGGACGGAGGAATCATGCCAGGGATCATAGGATAGGAATCTCTGAAAGGGTAATATCCAGCTGGGCTGTATGGCACCAGGTCTTGACTACTCAGGGGGGGACCACCATAAGGTGATGGTCCATGGGGAGAGACACTATGCTGCATTTGCTGTTGAGGCTGGCTGTGTCCTTCACCTCGACCATGGGAAGAGGAATGTGAATAGTGTACATTATGATTTGGTATATTCGCTGGATGATGATCATGGACAAAAAACGGGGGCATGGAAGCGCCATGAGGATGCTGGAATTGAGAACCATATGAATAAAGAGAGTGTCCATATGGTGTCGGTTGACCCAGTTGAGTGTGATGGCCGAATCTTATAAGCTGATCGGATGGAGGATGAGAGCCATTCGGGTGTCCAAGCGCCCCATGTTGAACCGAAGAGTGAGGGTAGACATGAGATGGCCCTGAGGAGGAGCTGTTAGCATAACCTGAGGCATGGGCCACAGGTGGCCAGAACCTCCTGTCGTGAGGTGCGCGGCCATAAAGCCCCGAATATTCCTCTGCGGAATCCACACTTTCTGGTGAGTCTGGCGACGGGTGACGGCGTGGGCGACGGGAGAATGACTCCCGCTCCGGTATAATATGACGCCTCGATGAATAACGACGGCCCGAAGTCGAACGCGAGCCGTGGATCGGGTAACGGCTACGGTGTGAAGTTCTTGGCCGAGACGCCGAGTCAGATGGCTTCAGTTCGTCCGGATACGGCAAATGTGCCCACTCATCATAGGGATCTTGATAATCATGACTTCCCGAATCAGAGGGTGCTGAAACTTGTACTCCAGTTCCAGAAGAAGAGTCTTCCTCATCGGTCAAAGAAGAGTTATCCGAATCCGGATCAGTAGGATCAATCGTAATACTGAACCTGTTCAATAGACCTCAGTCAAACCAACCCATGGCGAATGGAAATGGAATGCATTATTAGACGTACGTCATAGGGAGTTTCGGTGCTGATGTTTTTTTTTTTTTTTTTTTTTTTTTGAGTGCTGGTCCAGGGCTCCGCGAAAGAAAAGAAAGGAAATAAAATAGAGTGGGGTTCTAGACAGAAAGACCTGTAGAGTATATGTATTCGTTATATTTGGCTTCCAACAACGTACCCCAAGATGTCAGAGAATTAGAGGAACGGAGGCTTGAAATCTGTTGGGTGTTTCGTTTACTGTGTATGGTTTTTCCCTCTTCTAGAAACAGCACTACCAAGACAGATGAAACAAAATGTCATCAATATCGCAAGCCTTGGGTGATTCTAGAAAATAAAGATGTCCATAGTTTCGGGATTTTCGCTGACAGTGCTAGGCAGGTCGGTATGCGATCGATCAAGTGCAATTGCAGAAGAATGCATTCCACATGGGATAAGCAATGTGAGTCACCACTGCATGAAAAGTACCTCACTATGAAGTTATTCGTGGGGGGGTTAAAGAGAGGAGATTAAAAAATTAATAATAAATAAATAATTTAAAAGAAATAATGAGATAGATATTGAGAGGACCAAGTGAATTGGGTTGTTGACAGCCTAATCAAATTATTCGTTGGGCGTGATATGGCGGAGTTGGGCATGGATACCGAGGGCTAATCTGATTGAGCTGGCAACCCACAATTTTTAAAGTCTGCTGCCCAAGTGCCCAATTAACAATACCGATCCATGCCGCTGTCAAAAGCCAAAATGTTATTGAAGAAATCGGCAGGTACCAACATATTGTAGGTGGTACCATGGACTATATCCACCTATTTCATACATGAACAATGAACATGATACAGTTTTGCACATTTACACGGTACAAAAACCCCAGGAAAACCACATGGCGCGTGAGCGATTGGTGTGATTTTCCATTTTATATTGAATACTTTGTTGGAGTTGATTTTATCTTATCTTGTCTGTCTCCCTGTCTGTCTATGTAAGGTTTTCATCCCTCAACAATGTTTCCAATGAAACTGACATCATTCAATAATAATCATAAGCAGCATGAAAGCGCTTTGGCGAGTGTATTCAACTACCGCTTATCTCGTAGGTATCTAGAAGAATACCGTTGGTTATTGCCAAATCAATGGATCATCAAACAGGACCTACAAAGTTTCTTCTACTGTTCTTTTTATCTCCCAAATTCACCAAATTAGATATCTCATTAAGCCAATCAAGATACCACATTCCAATAGTTTGTACCTCTGTAAAATCAAAATGAGTTGCCCTGCAAGGGATCCAGGTTTAAGGTACAGAGGCAGGTACTATAGTCACTTCACCCATGATAAGATACCTATTAGGCACGTGGCTAGACTCAGGGCAATATTCACACATTCCATTCCACAATTATACATTCTATTTGATAGCTCGCCGGGGTCCGCCCCATAAATACGTCCATCCGGTGCAGCTCTTGAGGCGAACCCCTAACATTCGCCTTTATAGGAATCGGAACACGCCGCTAAATGATTGTAAGACACGAGCTTGAGGTTACAAAACAACTGCTTTAAACATAATGGGCTGAAAAGATTTGCTTTGCAGAATTGCACATGTATCCTTTACAATGATAGAAAGAACATGGCCTGTGTCAATGTTCGTTTGCTTGTTTTCAGTGTGATCCATGGAACTGGTTAAGAAGCTCTTTCGCTGCAATGAGCTCGCTCTGGCTGTACTCTCTTCCTTGATAATTCATTGGTTGTGCCTGAAGAATTCTGTGAAGTTTCTTCACGGCAACAGCATTCAGCTCCAGGATGGTACTTTTAAGGGGGGTATCCTCAGGTTGTGCAACCAAGTGATCTTGCGGTAGATACTTTGAATGTTGATCCTGGAGCAAAAGCGATGAAACCTAGAATAGATAAAATGTTTAGTACACAGCAACTTGGTTTTCAGGGTCACATACTAATGTCAAGCCGTATAATCCCCGCAAATAATTGTCACAAAGCTCGATGCTTCTACAGAAGAAACGCAATGACCTCGCTAGCAACTTGTGGGGTGCCTGAGTCTCCGGTGAAGAGGCACAAATGTATAACAATTCTCCTAGGCATGCATGGATCTGTATATGATGGTTAATTAAGATTTTAAATAATAATGTTATTGGTTAACAATACATTCCAAGCATTAGGTGTGATCAGAAGAACTTCCTCAAGACTGAATATTGCCTGGGAGTACATTCCTTGAGATTGGTATAAACTTGAAAGCTCACACCAAGCCTCTGCATCTGTTGGTGTGGTCTCTATGAGCTTGATCAAAGCAGTTATGGCATCTGTGGGTCGGGACATTGCACAGAGTAGAGCGACCCGGCGCTTGAGAACTGGCTATAAATGTAGTGTCAGATGTTTATCGTCTGCTGGAGAAGAATAAAGAAAAAAAAAAAATGATATAAATACAAACCAAGTTGACTGGATTTTCCAAAAGTTGATTGTCATATTCTCGTAAACATCTTTCCAGGGCTGAGGAATCCTCCGCGATGGCTTCTTTGTATAGTCCATGTAATCCCATAATTCTTTCATTTGAAGGGCCGAAGCGTTGGGTTAATCGATCAAGACATCGTTGCGCTGATTTATCATCTCCAGTTTGCAAAGAGGAAAAGAAAAGTTGCTCTGTTTTCCCATATTCTTCAGGATTCTCTGGGGCAGATGAAGGTAAAAAGAAAGAGCTTGTCTCAGGATGCCGATCAAGGATCATAGTTGCTTGTTGCGAGAAACGAAGCGTAGCAATCAAATCCGAGCTATGGATATCATGAGATCCATGCATAATATCAGTCATCATTCTAGATGTTCTAGATGAATTCAAGTAGTTAGTGATGTTTCAATTATCCCGTCAGGATGTCAAGTTATGGCCTGTTGCGTTTGAGGATCTCGAGATTCTTGGAGGAAATGTAGTTGTGGATATGGGATGAAAGAGCTACCTCCTCGGTGCTCCGTCCCTACTCCGTACTACCTAAAGGTACCACCAGGTGGTACCTAGCTTAGGTATGTACCCGTACCCGGAGTACCTAAACTACTGTGTACTCCGTAGACTCCATACCTACTATATAAGTAGATGGAGCAGAGCAGAATTATTACTAATGCCACCTGATCTAGCTAGTTAACTAGCCACATAGTACCCTTACGGGAGGGGAGGCTGCCGGTTTGAAAGTTCAGTGGATAAACACTTTGAGCAGTAATTTCTTTGTATTATAGTACTCGTATGTTAATCATTTAATGTAGTCATTTCTGCAACCTTTCTAGGCTTTTTTAAAAATATTAGAGATATATACTGCATTTATATAAAAATAAATAATATTTAATATACACCTACTTAATAAATATATATAAGATGGTTTATCTCTATATTAAAAAACCACATGCCTCTATGTAATATATATATCATTAAAAAAAAAATACTTAGTCATTATACCCTACTATAACTACTACTTTCAGCCATTTCCTATATAATATATTGTTAGGGCCTGTACGATATACTGTATGTAGGAGACCAATTCCAAGACCACGGCTCGGATAGGCGCACGTGACCACACGCTGCGCATCTCTGATCGCGGGTTTGAAAGCCTTCCAAACCAGCGATGCTTTCAAACCCGCGATTAGTTCTACTACCGATTGACCGCTACGTTTACCACGCTATCTGTATTCGATATTGGATCTGCGTACTTGTATTATCGCACGTCCTCACATATATATAGAACTTTAAGGTAAATTTATATAATTATATAGCTAGATAGCTTAGTTAGATATATGTTTAATTTAATACCTAGGGTATATTTTAAAGTATTTTCTTAATATTTATATGATTTACGGTAACACAGAAATAGAGAGCCCTTAATCACCGCTCAGTTACTTCTTTAGATTAAGTCTGTTTTCTGAGTAGCTTGAAATAATACTTTGTAATATTTACTAGCGTCAAAAAAGTGTCGACCACTGGAGGTACCACCTAGTTAATAGACACCGCCTCTAGCCCACACCTACAATGACATCGCTATTCTCGTGACCTGAGTAAACTGAAGCTGGATATGAAATGAACAATCATGATGGGTACTCAGAAACGATTCAGTTTGATTTTCCTTGGTTTTTAGACTACTCACCCCCCAGAGACATTTACCTACCTACCTACCTACCTCTGTCACAATTTGGATCCACGAAATTCTAGTGCCTTAGCCTCTTCTGAACGGACATTGGATCTATAGTGAGTACCGAGCAAACAAACTCATCAATCCCGTCTGCCCCTGACAGGGTTAACAGCCCACACTCGATCAATATCTTGGCAACCTGACTGGCAGAATCCTTCTACTGCAAAGCTGCGGCAAATGAACCATACTCTCTCTCAAAATCTTACTATATGCGGTACCGTATTTAATCATCCTGCCGTAGCTACCGGCAGTTATCTCAATAATGTGAGTTTGCGGCTTCTCTTGATTGCACATGGCAGTTGCACTGATAGAGAATGCAGGTTTGAAAAATCACTCTATGACCTTATAAAAGGTCTACGGAATCATCGAGGGGCAGAAGAGGATTATATCCAAAACAGTCTTCGAGAATGTAAGGCGGAGATCAAATCGCAAGACATGGGTATGCACCCCCTCCAAGCTCGCCCTCAAGTATACTAAATTTGCGTAGACAAGAAAGCAACGGCGCTCTTAAAGCTCATATACTTAGAAATGTTCGGATACGATATGTCTTGGGCTTCATTCCATGTTCTAGAGGTCATGTCATGCGCAAAATACTTGCAAAAAAGAGTGGGTTACCTTGGAGCGGTGCAAAGCTTCAGGCCGGATACCGAAGTATTAATGCTGGCTACAAATTTACTCAAAAAGGTATGCTAGGGCTACCGCTTGCTGGTCACCCCGCAAAATGTCTAAACATTTTGATAGGACATTATATCTTCAGGTATACCTAATATGTCGCTTCCACTCATCACGTTACCACACATCATCACCCCCTCGCTTGCCATCTCTTTACTTGGGGACATTTTACCACGGCTATCTCATTCCCATGTTGCGATTCGCAAGAAAGCAGTTGTGTGTCTCTATAGGCTCGCACTGGTTTATCCCGAGGCGCTCAAGCTAGCGTGGCCTAAAATTAAAGATCGGCTTATGGATGATGAAGAAGATAGCAGCGTCATCACGGCAGTCATCAATGTTGTTTGCGAGCTTGGGTGGAGAAGGCCGCATGATTTTCTCCCACTTGCACCGAGATTTTTTTATTTACTTGTTGAGGGGGGCAATAATTGGATGGCTATAAAAATAATAAAACTTGTTTGTTTCCCCATTCTTTCTAAGAACATGCTTCTGATCCTGTCAGTTTACAACCTTGACTCCACTAGAACCACGCTTAGTGCGGAAGCTTCTCCAGCCATTAACAAATATTATCCAAACAACAAATGCCATGTCACTTCTATATGAGTGCATTAATGGTATTATCCAATGTGGTATTCTTGATGGAGATGATGCTCTTCGAGAGAACTATGAAATTGCACGGGTCTGTGTCGGAAAACTACGAGGCATGATTGTCACGGATGCTGATCCAAACCGTAAGTATTCCTATGTCTGGTCTGATTTTGTTGATATTTAAGTTAAGTAATGGGCAGTTAAGTATGTTGCACTCCTTGCATTCAATCGTATTGTGGTGTCACATCCTACCTTGGTGTCAATGCAGCAGGACGTCATCATGGAGTGCTTGGAGGATGCAGACGTCTCCATTCGCTTACAAGCTCTTGAGCTTGCAGCCAGAATGGTTACGAGTGATACGTTACAGCCAGTGGTCAACCGCCTAATAAGCCAACTAACCAACCCTTCGCGGTCAACGGACAAAGATCTTCCAGATGCTGAGAGTGATGACTCGGGAAACCAGGTGGAAACCCGTAAAGCAGACTGCTCGTTTACATTACCAAATGAATACCGGATCGAGGTTCTCCATCGAATCCTGGATATATGCTCTCACGATAACTACTCGGAGTTACCTGACTTTGAATGGTATATCGAGATTTTGGTCCAATTAGTCAAGCTTCTTCCTCGAGGTATTGAAGAATATGTCTCTTCGCCCACTATTCATCAAGAGAGTACGAGTGGTTTCGAAAGAGATGCCGCGTCCCGAATTGGGTATGAAATACGCAACGTTGCAGTTCGTGTGAGGAGCGTTCGGATGGAAACGACTAGGGCAGCAGAATCATTGGTTATAACCCTGATTTCTAAGCTGTCAAGTTTTAACGACGGTATTCTAGGGCCTCTTGCTTGGATAGTCGGCGAATACGCGGAGTATCTTCAATGTCCTGGTCGGACACTTCATTCATTGATTGATACATCCAACTTGAAGTTGCCAGCAAAGGCGCTGTCTCTTTGTCTACAGGCCATCCCAAAAGTGCTCGTCCATATAATACATGACGGCGAAACCTGGGATGCATCCTTTCAAATTGAATCTTCGCTATTCCTGGCGCGTGTCATAGAGTTCCTTGAGCCTTTGTCGGCTCATCCCGATTTAGAAGTGCAGGAAAGAGCTATCGAATTTCTTGAAGTTTTCCGTCTGGCAGCAGAAGTAATCCATTCAGATACTTGCCAGTCACAAGAGATGCCTTTTCTATTATCTTCTGTCATTCCAAGCCTCTTCATGGGGCTCGAACTCAACCCAGTTGCCGTCACTGCCCAAAGAAAAGTACCCTTCCCTGAGAGGCTCATTCTTGACCAGAGTTTCAACGATAACCTCTCGAGTTTGTTCCGCAACAGCATCAGCTTTCCCGGTGAAGAAAACCGGAAACCCCTCCAAAGCTTCTATCACTTCCAAGATATCCCAAATTCCACTAAACAGTTCAGTGATACCGCTCGGTTCGAATCACAGTTGGCTACTTATCAAAATTTGGCCGGAACATCGTCAACTGATGAAGTCACTGCCCTGGCGAGGCGAAGAGCTGAACGCAAAGGATACAATAGAGACGATCCTTTCTATATCGGGACGGCAGATGAATCGTCTGGCACATCCACGCCATTTCACCAAGTATTCAATGCTTCAAACGGCGCTGGGCTAGACATTGATTCTATTCCCATAATAGATCTTAAGGTGAACGAAGAGGGGGGCGATCATAGGAATCCTATGGTAGACCTCGAGAACCCAAGAAAGCCCATGTGTCGCTCTCAACAATACGACATTGCTGTCGATGAAACGATTGGGAATGAAGACCCCATGGAGTTTGGGGCTGTTAATAACTCTGGGAAGGCCAAACGATCTCTACTTCAGATCGACTCCAGTGGCCTTGGAAAGCTTTCACTTGGGGATTATACAGGCTCGGCTGGCGTTTCAAAGACCGAGGAAGATGACAATGAGATGAATAAGGCCATGCAGGAGGTGGAAAAGGTTAGGTTGAAGATGCAAAGAGCATCTGAGCGGGTCAACCCTGAAGGCATTCCTGCAGAAGGGATGCTTGTGAGGAAGAAAAAAAAGAGGGAGAGGAAGTCTGCCATTAATAACCATGAAAATGATGGCATATTACCAAATGACCATGGCATTCTCATGAACAATGATGTCCAGCAAGGTCATTCTGGTTCTGTTATCCAGAAAAAGAAGAAAAGGGTGAAAAAGCGGCTGTCAACATAGTCAAGGCAACAAATACTATATGCACGCATCACTCTTCCCCCTTTTCTCTTTTGTTGTACATAGTATTGTCATAATGGTCTTGGTTCATAGCGCAGTATCATTTTGGCTTAGACGTTGATAATTTCGTCATATCTACTTCATGGACCCCCATATGGGGATGTGAATCATAAGTACCGTAGGCCTAGCTAGGTTTTCTGGGATGGATGGTTGCAATATTGTCTTGCCGGCTTGTGAGTGAAGTACATGCGATTGGGGGAATATTGAGGTAATGCAGTCACTGGTATGATGATGTTCATGATGAAACCTGGGATCCATCATATCTTCTTATTATACAATAATACATGGATGCAGTATATCAGGTTTATGCCATCTGGCCACTGAATACTCCAGTGATAGTTGACCAGATATTTGGCACAATCCTGAGAAGCTCAAATAAGAGCCCACCACAAACAACAAAGGCAAGGATTACTGGTTACATCTTGTTAGACACTTGCTGGTTTTATTTCCTGAAGTTTGGATACATACCCACCCACCCAGTAGAAATTGGGGACTTCGGGTTCTGTTTTTGTTTCACTGGGGCTTGTCCTTTCCCACGCTTTGCAGCCTCGTGCTTTGCATATCTCTCGTTCGCCTTTCGCTGTTGTGGTGTTTGGGCCTAGGCATGATTATCAGCATCAGGAGTGTCACATCAAGATCTGAGAAGAAATATACCATTTCTAATTTCCACAATTATCTTGTTGCGCAGGCTCTGACTGTATTAAGTTACCGGGCTATATAGCTGTTGGGATGTGTTTGATCAAGGGGCAATTGGCAGCAAAGGTAGGTAGGTGGGTGAATAAGCTACAAAAAGGCCACGTTGTTGTAACTGTTAGGACAGTGCTCCATATTACTATTATTTAGGCCTGTCTAATATAACAAGCTTAGTAGACACTAGACACATGATAAAGTCTTATCCCTTACTATGGTCTATTGATGATGATATATTCTTGCTAGTAAATAACAGTATTTCAATGATCCTTTTGTTCTATGGAAGCTTTAACAGTGGCTATTTTGTCTTGGTATTTTCTCTTCTGGAAAAAACTTTGTGCGTGAATTGAATTTTTAAGATTTTGTAATAACCATTAATCAGTTCTAGCTTAGAATTTATTAAATTATATTTAACTTCTAGCGACTATTAGTAGATACTAATTTTATTAGGATTACTGGTAATAATAGTAAGAAATAAGGAAATAACTTATTTACTAATAATATAGATAATGACTAATTGTCAGGCCTGGTGGTGGTGATACCGCATGATTAGTACTTAGTAGTAGTAGTAGACCTCTTATTCCTATTATAGCTAACTCTAAATACATATTACTATACAGGATTACTTAGAGTGCTACTCTAAAGTAGGTAAAATATAGTACTAGTACTATAGAGGGGAGATTCTCTTAACTAAATAATTAGTTAAGCTACTCTTATAGAAGAATAGAAAAATATATACCTACTAACTTTAGATAAACCTTATATAAAAGCTTTATAGCTCTAATTATTATATTATATATTTAATTATATATACCTTATTATTAATTATTAATTACTAATTACTCTCTTATTAAGCTACCTTTATGTTACGGCACCTTTATCAGTGACCATATCAGGCAGAATCAGGCGGTCAAGGGGAATGGATATTCTTATGGCAGAGAATTATGATTTGCTATTATCACACTCTTCATAGCCACTATCTGGCAACGCTGCCACACTCATATAATATGGTATATAGGTACTATATCTTAGTAAACATACTATCTGGTATACTATTATAGATGGTATATACCTTAGTATATAGAATAGTATATCACTAGCATACTATGTGGAGGACTATCTAGAGGACTATAGATAGGGAAGGAAGATATATAAGGATACTTACTTTATATACTTAAATAGTTCTTTATAATTAATATAAGTTATTATCTTATAGTTACTATTCTATTACTACTTTAATTATTCTACCCACTTATTTATATATCTCTAAGCTTAATTAAGAAGTATATAAGCTTCTTAGCCCTACTTCTATCTTTAACTACCTTACTGTATTCTTAAGTACTATAGCTTATAGAAGTGCCCCAGCTACTATTAACATCCTTAGATTAGGGTTATAGGTTAGTATTCCCCAGGCTTGACTCACAGGTTACAGGTTAGGTATCATTGCGAGATCCTAGGGTGTGACACTTTATAGCTTTATTATATTACTAAATTATTACTTTATTAACTTACTACTTATATTTCTAACTTTATATATCTTTAATTTTATTACCTATATTAGTAATAGTTCTTATATCTATTAGTCTCCTTTTATAATTATTATTAATCTAGTATAGTAGCTATTATATATACTATCCTTTATTTCCTATACTTAGTTACTCTATATATTATTCTAATTTATAGAGCCTATTATCTCTTTATCTATTATATTATATTAAGAGAGTAGGCTTATTTATATTATAAAATTAATAATTACTAATAATATATTTAGTTTTAAAGTAGCTTATTATATCTTAATATCTAGAGTATATTACCCTATAACTTCCTCTATATATTATTCTATAAATTAATAAGTAGTAAGTACTTGTTACGGCACCTTTATCAGTGACCATATCAGGCAGAATCAGGCAGTCAAGGGAAAAGATATTCTTATTATGGAGAATTATGATTTACTATTATCATGCTCTTTACAGCCACCACCTGGCAGACACCGCCACACTCACATGACATGGTATACAGGTACCATGTCTTGGTAAATATACCATTTAGTATATCATCACAGATGGTATACACCCTGGTATATAGAATGGTATACCACTGGCATACCATACAGAGGACTATCTAAAGGACTATAGACATTAGAGGAAGATATATAAGGACACTTATTTTATATACTTAGATAGTTCTTTATAATCAATATAAGTCATTATTCTATAGTTACTATTCTATTACCTTTCTAATTATTCTACCTACTTGTTCGCACATCTCCAGCTTAATTAAGAAGTATATATACTTCTTAGCCTTACTTCTCTCTTTACCCACCTTACCACACTCTTAAGCACTACAGCTCACAAGAGCACCCCAGTTACTATTAATATCCTTAGATTAGGATCATAGGTTAGTATTTCCCTGGCTTAACTCTCAGTTTATAGGTTAGGTACCATTATAAGATCCTAGGGTATGACACATTAATCACCTATCTATATAAGTGTATGAATGATACCTAACATTAACACTAGTCCATCTTAAGTGATTAACTTAAAATATTATGGCTAGAAATACTCCAGTAAGTAATGTGAGCTCTATGGCTTCGCAACCACCAGCCAAGAGCAATGAGGAACTCTTAGGTATAATTAAATAGCTTTAGGAAACCATTTCCACACTTAAGGGGCGCCTTACTATTAAATTAGTAAAGGTCCAACTACCTAAACCATTTAGAGGAAAGAGATTGCAGCTTTAAATGTTCCTAATATAATTAGACACCTATATTAATATTAATAAAGAAAAATTGGTATATAATACTAATAAAGTGGTTTTTACTTCAACCTACCTCACCAAGAGTGTATTTAATTGGTTTAAACTATTTCTCTAGAACTTTTAGGAAAATAAAGCATCAGGACAGGATAATAATACTAAGGAGATCTTTATATCTTATACTAAATTTAAGAAGAGACTTAAAGGGACCTTTAGTAATATTAATGCCACCCAGTAAGTAGAGTAAAGACTATAATAGCTTAAATAGATAGGATTAGTATAGTAGATAGCTTCTAAATTCTAGTAGATTATATCCCACTTAGACTAGGATGAAGACGCTTATATATCATACTTTAAAGAAATGTTAAAACCTAATATACAGGAAAAACTTATTTAGTAAGAATGACCAGACTCCCTGGCTAAATTTATTAAATTAGTAGTTAAAATAGATAATAAACTTTATAAATTTAGAAATTAGTGCACTAACTACTAATTTAGAGGAAACCAGCACATAACTAACTATTAATTAAATAATAGCTAAAGAGTATAACTAGTAAGCTAAGGATATATAGATCCTTTTAGGCTATAACTAATAGAACTTAATATAACTAGTGTGAGATAAAAGGGTATAATACTAGAAGAATAGGAATGATAGCATAAGGAAAAGCTTTATTTCTTTTATAGAAAACCTAGATATATAATAAAAGATTACTAAGTGAGGTAATAATATAACTAGAAAAATCAGAACTAAGGAAAATAACTCTAAGCTATAAAGGAACTTAGAGTAATAAATAAAGACCTATAACTCTAGAAGCTCTATTAATAATACACTATATTAAGTAAAGAAGAGATTAATTAAGAACTTAATATAAGAAAAAGAGGACTAATTAAAATAATATAGGATAATTAAATGGAAGAAGAGCTATAACTGGAATAGTAAATTAAAGTAGAATGCTACCTAGATAACTTAATATTAGATAATAGTTATATACCATATAATTAGTTAAGACCAGACAGTAAGGATCTAGCCCTACTTAAACTAGTATAGATAAATAAACCAGACAAGGATAACTAGGACTATATAAGCTGTCTTAATATTAAAGATATATTTAATAGTATAAAACTAGAACCTAAGACTCTAGTATTATTATAGTATAAATAATAAATCCACTATGAACCTTTCAGTATATAGAATATACTAAGATAGAATTATAGAGAGCCAGCTCCTATAGGTAAAGTAGTTAACTAAGTTTAGTAAGTTATTAATCCTTTAGATAAAGAGTACAGTACTTAATAGGAAGGCCTAGTATCCTACTAGGAGGGACTCTATAAGTTACCTAAGTAACCTTAAAGAACCCTATAAGATAACTTTAAATTAAATAAATATATTATAAAATTACTAGAAAGAAGGCGCCATTTTACCTAATATAGGGTAGGGCAGTAAAACTAAGATAGGGTATATAAATAAATTAATAAAATCTTAAATAGAGCCTAGAAGG